GAAAAAAAGTAATGCTGTAACAGAGCGCCAATGACGTATAAATAAGCAAACACCATTTGTTTCGTTTCCATAAGTAAATATTTATATTAGATATCTTCTCATGACATTTGCTTATAACATGAATTGAAAATAATAAAACTTCACGTATGGATTTTCTTATATTGTAAATTTGTTTGCAAAGTGATGTTATAACATAACATTCATGCTTTCTGTTTCTCTGTCACTCTCTGTGTCATTATCTATATCAATAATGGTTTTAAACAGAGTTTTACGTGTCGCAGATGGAACCAGGAATCGCCAATTCACACACCGTCGAGTCCTTGAATGTTGAAGCAGTTGAGGTCAGTTATTCTTAGTAGACGATGGCAAACATAATGAAAGGGGCTCTCTGTGTTACTGTTAAGTAGAAAAACAATTTGACAGTTTAATATTTTATCACTGATTTTTTGTTGTCGTGTCGTGCCATAAGATCAATTGAGTCACTCATACAAATACAAGCATCTTATTTGTGTGAGCTTGCACTTAAGCTTGTTAAGATTTAGTCAAATTCTACACTTGTAGCACTCAGCAAACGTAGACAACATACAATCGAAACTTGTTATTTTCTTTATCTACGACTATGATCAATAATGTGCTTGATATACCAAAAATAATAATAAGCAGGTGAGAGAAGGAAATGATAGCGACAGAAAAGAGGCAGCCATAAATGAGAAGAGTGGAGGGAGAGTGGAACACTGCAATGATCTTGCCAGGTACTAAACGAATGATCAACCATTTCCTCAACAATTATTTTTGAAATAATAATAAGTTAAAGTGTGGATTGGAACATAGATGCATGGAACAGGGTGAGATTGAATATTGTTGTGAAAAATGGATGCAGGAAATCAAGCACTAGCTACACTAGCATTCTTTGGAGTTGGAGTGAACTTGGTTCTGTTTCTGACCCGATTGTTGGATCAAGACAGTGCTGAGGCTACTAATAATGTGAGCAAGTGGACGGGAACCGTTTACATATTCTCACTCATTGGAGCCTTTCTCGGTGATTATTACTGGGTCGATATTTAACATGCTCTATATTTCAGCTCATTTTTTTTCTGGTATTCTATTCATACTGTTCTATTATTTTCTATTAAATTTGATGGCATTACACGATGCGTGTTGAAAGACATTTCAATTTCATTGAACAGGGTTTGGGGCTGTTGTCGCTGACATCTTGACGGTTTTTGCTCAAAACACATGGTTGTGGCAATGAGAAAACAAAATGCATGGAACCAATCCTCAGTGGGTGTTGGGATTTTCTACTTGTCCATATATCTAGTGGCTTTTGGATATGGAGGACACCAACCCACCTTAGCAACCTTCGGTGCGGATCAATTTGACGAGAAGAACGAAAAATATAGGAATTCAAGAGAAGCCTTTTTCAGCTATTTTAACTTTACACTCAGTGTAGGATCTCTGTTCTCCGACACAATATTAGTGTACTACGAGGATTCGGGGATGTGGACGATGGGGTTCTTGGTTTCTTTGGGATAAGCTATTATTGCCATAGTTTCATTCTCTTCAGGATGTAAGAAATATAGATACGTAAAGCCATGTGGGAATCCGGTTGTGAGGGTAGCCCGTGTTTGTGGCCACTGCTAGGAAGTGGAAGGTTCATCCTGCCAAGGAAGGCCTTCTTTTTGAGGTTGATGGTCCTGAATCTGCCATCGAAGGAAGCAGAATGATTCGGCACACCCAAGATTTTCACTAACACAAACAAATCTTTATGTCATGTCATGATTTGGATTAGAACTGAGTAAAACAGCTATATGATTTTGATTAAAACAATATCTGATATTCCTATTGTGTGTTAATTTTTGTTGATGTTGAACAGATTCATGGACAAGGCAGCAACAAAAACAGAGAAAAATTCAAATGATCTTGAGGATCATTGGCGGCTTTGCACTGTAACTCAAGTTGAGGAAGCAAAATGTGTGTTGAGAATGCTACCAGTTTGGCTATGCACTATTATTTATTCTGTTGGGTTTAGACAAATGGCTTCTCTTTTTGTTGAGCAAGGGGATGTGATGAACAAGAAGATTGGAAATTTTCACTTGCCAGCAGCCAGCATGTCAGTGTTTGATATCTGTAGTGTCCTTTTATTCACAGGAATTTATCGTCCTTTTATGCACAGGAATTTATCGCCAAATCCTTGTTCCAGTTTAGTGGCAATCCAAGGGGACTAACTGAGCTTCAAAGAATGGGAGTTGGCCTAGTTATTGGAATGTTAGCTATGCTTGCAGCTGGTGCTACCAGAGTTTGAAAGACTAAACCGGGTTAAACCTGGAGAGTTTGAAAGACAAAAACGGGTTAAACCTGGGGAGAAGGCTAGTTCTTTGACTATATTTTGGCAAGTCCCACAATATGTTCTAGTTGGTGCTTCAGAAGTTTTCATGTATGTGGGTCAATTAGAGTTCTTTAATGGGCAAGCCTCAGATGGCATAAAAAGCTTTGAGAGCTCCCTCTGCCTGGCTTCAATTTCTATTGGAAACTGAGTAGTGTGCTGGTGTACATGGTGACGGGGAATCACTGCAAGGGGAGGGAGAGCATGGTAGATTCCCAATAACTTGAATATGGGGTATATGGATAGGTTTTTCTTCCTCTTTTCAGCGCTAACTACTTTGTGATCTACTTGCTCGGTGGTACAAGAGCATCAACCTTGAAGATGGTGAGAAGGGAAGCCAAGAGGAAGATGAAATGATTGATAAAGTTTGATTGAGAGCTTTTGTTGTTTTTGAATTTTTCTTTTCTTTCTTTCTAAGCATTTGGCCTTTGGGGTGATTGCATGACCAGCACGAGACAATTGAAAAATATTGATGGGTGATTGCTTTCTTGATAACATGGCAGTTTTGGTTTGGTGTTATGCTAGTCTTTGTATCACTGAAAATGCTTTGGTGAATTTAAATGAATTTAGTAGGCATTCTTTGTTTTTATTTATTGATTCTGAATTTTGAAGCATGCCTCCTTGTGAGAAAGGATCAAATCAACACGTTTACTCGTTAGGCTTTTTGACATCCAATGTTCATGACTTGCTCTGACATTGGGACAGGAATCGTGTTAAAGGACGAGAAATGATAAACAAGCGTTTAGTACACCTCTAAACGCTTGTTTATCCTTCCTAATATGACATGTGGGATGTGGCTGTAGTTGTCAACATCTGAATTGATCTATTATGGAAGTCGATGAATATGACCGTGACACTAACTTTATTCGTCTTAATTAATTAAACTCTTTGAAACAGTCAACCGAAGATTTTGTGATACAATATCGTCACCAGTGAGTGAAGGATTCTCCTACAAAACAAAAACGTCACTCTTTTTCTGCTAAATATTGAAACTTCCAAGTTTCACAAAAATACAATATTATCATAAACCTCTTATCATCTATCGTGCCACCGCCCATTAGAGTCTTCGTCATGTCACTTTTAAATTAATCAAAACACAATTAAGTTACACAATTTCATCATCCATCCATTCGTGTTTTATTATAAATGTTGATAGAACCAATTATGTGTCCGGTTTCATCAACCTTTTTTAGTCTGCTTATTCATTTATTTTCCTTTCATAACATTTAACTTGCGTTTAAATTTAAAAACAAATTTTGTCAACTAATAAAAAATTATTAATCAACAGTCGAGTGATACATAAATCTCACTTGAATTCTTCATATGCATGCCATGACGACTAATACAGTTTATTAGTTTTATCATTTAAAATAAAAATTTACGAAAAGTCAAGAATAGAGAATCACAAAAACAATAACAATGATGTAACGAGTTAGGTCTAAATACACAGAGAGAGAGAGAGAGTTTTTAAATTAGTTATATGAACAATTTATCTAAATAATAACATTTATACAAAAAGGAGTTTTAGATAATATTTTCTACATTGAAAATAAAACTAATTGATCTAAAAAATTAATACTACACTGATTCTATTATTAACTAATATAGTAAAGTGTGCATTAACATTTTTAAATTTTCATTGCTTTTCTTTTTACATCGCTTAATATTTAAATGGCCCAAAAAGGTAGTTGTAAAATTCCTACCAGTGAAGCGTTTTTAATCCAAAGATAGAAGAAACATCGATCACTGTAGGTAGGTCGTTCAGCCCTGGCTATGGAGAAAGGATGATTTGAATGCAAAAAGAGAATTTTCAAAATTTTAAGTAAAATGGAAATCGAACGACAGACCAAAAATTTCGGGGCATTATAAGCTTCTAGTTAATATATATAACATGCAAAAACATGCTTTTCTACATAAAAAATTAAAGATTTGAGGGCAGAGTTGATTTACTTAAGCAAAACTATAGGTTATTCAATTAATTGCTGCTGAAGCAGTAAAGCTTATTCCTAACGTCATGACTCATGCATGACCATCATGCTATCCAACAGCTGGTTGATGTATCCATCAAACAACATTTTCAATCTACTTAATTTCTAATTCTAAGCTCTAGTCCAGCTCATCGTATTATAATTCAATTAGTATTTAACTGCGTCCCAATTAATATATTATTGGTTGATTAATTAAAGCCTCCACGGTAGCCCGTGACCTCATAGGCCACCCGATTCTAAAATTATTATGAATTTCTTAATTACGATGTATTAGCTATAACCTATCCTTATACGTACGCATCAAACCATATATCAAACCATGTGTGGCTTCTACTAATACACACAGTTATTCATAATTTTTTTATAAGGTCGTGCAACTGGGCAATTAATTAATAAATATTTATATTTATTAAAGATATAATTTAATAATCTATGATTATAATTCGTGGCTGATTAACACTTTGGCTTTGCATAAAACAAAATCAAGATATACTGCACTTGGAAAATAATTGGAGAAGATGTAATCCAATCCCATATGCATAGCATAGTCAGCGAAATCCGATACGCCACTAATTATTATGGTTGTGATAAGAAACAGTATGCATAAACAGAATAATATATCTATGATACATAAATTTTATTTGCAGAAAGGAAAGTATAAAGGGGGTGATTACATTATTGAGGAATATGATACGTAAGAATGAAGGAAAGTTCAAAAGGGGTTAATGGAAAGCATGGGGGGAGGGGTAAGAAGATGATAAGAAGAGGAAGAACGTTTGAGAAAAGCGCAGCCCTGAGGAGTTTGTTGGCAGTCCATTTCCATCAATACTTTGTAGAAGATGTGAACGTCACAAGGAAGGGCTAAAGGGCCTTGGCTGTTATAACCATATTCAGATTCTGCTTCTTCAAGCAACATCTTGAACAAAGGATGGTTTGCGTACTCAGTTTTGATGACGAACCTCTGCATTTGAGGTCCCACGTAGACGGAGAAGCAACCTTGGGGGGCCACACTTGCACTATCCTTTGCATTTGGCCATGATTTGCTCCTTATTGTTGTTGTTCTCAGTGTGAGCGAATCAGCAATTGCCTTGCGCCCTCGCCCTATGGACATGGACTTGCATCGCTCCCATGTTCTTGTTATGAGCCCTCCTTTTTTATTATTCTTGCTCCTCCTAGCGTCCTCCATTTTTGTTATCTCGATCTCTCTGCAACTGCAAGTATCTAATCAGAAGCCCAAACCACACACACGTACGTACACGCAACACTTGTGACTGTCTTGGATGGGAGTGTCAACCCCTGTCGTATACCAAATGGAACATCACTTTACTCCTTGGCCTCATTGTGTTGCTCATTTCTACGTTTGTAAGACCTCAGCAACAAAGGCAGAAGCAGAACAACGGAGATGGAAGAAAGATGGGCATTAGAAGACTATGCTCACACACCTAATATTTATGAAAGATGGAAGAAAGAAACTCCATCAGATGAGGGCCTCACAGGTTGTTTCTACGCCACACGTATCTAACATCCACTTGCCATCTACACCCGCTCCCACCTGTTGCCCTTTATATAACACTTTCTTTCGTCTTTCTTATATTTATTCATTATTTCCAGTGGACTAATCACAGTTTGTCAACGCTGTATTTTCTTTCCCTCAATTATTATCTTTTTCCCTACAATGACTTCAAGGGTCCAGTTTCTATGAATGAGAAAATATTTGGGTGACTTTTTCCCTTCATTTTGTCTTTTATTCAAAAAAACACAATTTTTTTTTCTCTTTCCCATATATCATACTTTCAATAACCTTTAAAGAGATCTCTCACTTCAACTATATCAACCAAACACTACTCCAATCAATCCACATACAAGAAAAGACAACTTGCTGTTCCGTCTCATGTATTCCTCTCTACTACTATCATTTTTTTATCCACACTTTAATTTTATATCTATTTCCAATAGCAACATGTTCGTAATTTTTTTACTTAATAATTTAACCACTATTGATACCCTTTTCTCAATTATTAATGTTCATATTGAATACATATCTAATTGTCATCTAAATTTATTTTATTAAATATTTTATGAGCACAATTTTAAGTCAATGACAACTGCCAATTGATTTATTATTTTTTTACGATATTACCTCCTTATATAAAGAAGAAGAAGTTTAGCTTCCTCTGCAATTATTATTAAGCCAAACTCCAATAAATTTTGCGTACACATTTTTTTTAATAATATATAGTTGGACAATAATATAAAACAACTGTAAAACATTTTTTTTCTTACAGGAAACCTAAAATGTTATTTGAGGAAAAGCAATTGTCAAAAGATTGGCCACGTGACTACCCCATATATAGTAAGTTTTTTTTTTTTTTTTTTTTTTGTTGGATTCTCCATGGCTTCCCACTATCAAGGGTTCCAAAGAGTCAAATTGAAAATTCCCTTAACTTTTAATTACATTAACAATTATCTCAACTAAAAAGAGAAGAGAAAATATGAAAACAAAATTATAAAAGAAAAGCAAGAGGGAATGATAGGGATAAAAGGCAGTGGAAGCTAATATGATATATAACCACATGCTCATTCCTAGGGAATATATATTTACTTATTTTTCTAATTGCAGTATTTCCAGTTAAAGAGGAGTTATATAAAATAAATAAAGGTGATAATAAAAAAATTGAATGCTTCGATGAGAGATTGTGACTTCTCTACTGTGGATGGGTTGGTGAGGTGGAGCAGGTGTAGCGATTAGGCAAGCACAAAATTGTGTTGAAAAATAAATCTTGATGAACGAACAAGTGTACCTATAAAAACTTAGATTTATAAAGTTAGCAGAAGTGCAAAATAAATAGTACATTTCCACAAATTTATAAACTCGCAAGAAACAAGGTGTTTCGCTTCTATTTTGGTCACTTTCGTTAAAGTAATTTTTTATGAGCTTAATGCTAAAAAGCATAATTAATTAATTAAAATTTTTAGATAAATATTAGAATAATTTTAACAAATTATTATTATTTTAATATAATGTTAACTTTTAATTTATTGTATTTAAAATATTTCTTTTATTTTTACATTTTGTTTGATGCAGTGGTTGTGGCTGATTGGTAGGGGAAAATATGTTTTGTTACTAGAGTTTAGTGGGAAATCGCATTTGAACACACAGAATGCAAAACTACTATTGCTGCATATGCAAGTCATGTTTCCATTTAATTAGTTTAACATATGGAAGTTATTGCTGCAATAATTTTTTGTATTTTGAAATATAAAACTACTAATAATTATCAAGTTTGTAATTTTGTTAAGTCATTAATAATAATTTAAATATTAATATCTAAAAAATATAAATTAAAATGAAATTATATATTTTGACATGGATAATTATAAAATAATTACGCCATGAGAAATTACACATAAAGAAATAATGTGAATATTATTTTATTATAATTTTTAAAAATATATTATCTATATGCATTTAAATTTCTATTAGTGAATTTTTGGTGCATTACACATGTATTATTAAATTAAATTAAAAACTAAAAATATATTACATGATATTTTAAATTTTATAAATATTAAAATGAGTAAATATTTTTATTATTAATAATAAATATTTATTATATTGGAAAACATACAATGGTACGTAATAGAACATGAAAACCATACTCTCATTTTATAGAGTTCTTTCAATATTTCAATATATATATATATATATTAAAAAAGGTCCTTGCAATTGCATGCATCAGGTCTGGAATCGAGTTTAGCCAATCAATCACCACATGCGTTTGCTTCCTTTGCACATGCACTCGTTTCCCTGTGAAAAAGGAATTATTGTTAATTTAGATTACAAATATACATTAAAAAAACATTTTTTCTGTATATTTACAAATGAAATGTTAATGTTCTTGAGAGTAATGTTTGTTTTGACTTACAACAAAGCCAAGATTATTATTGTTATTATTATTATTATCATTTACTTACGTGTATTTTTAAAAATATTTAATTATATTATGATAACTATTTAAAGTGTTATTTAATTAGTTGATGATATAAAAACTTTACATTAATAATTTATCATGACTAAACTTTTAGTTATTAAGACATAACTTTTTCTTATGTAACTATGGTAGTGGTTGCAATTTGATTTAACTCTTCTTACACTATATTTGGTATAGAAGAAAAAAAAGAATGAAATGAAAAGAACTACGTAAGATTATAAAATCTTGTACGATTTGCTTCAACAAAGAAAGCAAAATGAGAACACTTTGCGCAGAGAGAGACAGTTTTTGTGTTATTCCCTATTGCCTTCATGTTTCTAGACACCAAAGCAGTATTTTTATGACTAAAGAACAAAAATTATCTTTGAATTGTCATATCGCCTTCGAGGGTGGAAGAAGCAGCGTGAGGTGGAGATGCTGTTGCTGTAAAACTGGTGTTTACAACCTTAAAACAAAAAGTTATATACTGAAATATTACAAACTCTTACTCGTACTTTTAACTATTCAACTGTTGCATTTTTTTTAAAATAAAGTGAATGATGCATATACTCAATTTGGTACATCTATGACTTATTTTAATATATAATAATAGAAATGAACTCTATAATTGAATTTTTAATTCTTAAAAGATGGGCAAAAAATCATAATTAGGAGAAAAAATAAAGAAAAATGTGAAAGGAAATTAAAAATAGAAAGAATTGTAAAAAAAAGTAGAAAGAAAAACTTGCAACAAATAATGTGTGTGGAGTGTAGATGGTGATGAGGATGAGGATGAGGATGATTGGGTGTCGCTCCCACTAGTGGTGTTTGGTGAACTTGATTCTCTTAGAAGAATCTGTTTGTCGATGGCTATGCTTTTCCCTTTCCCTTTCCCTCTGTTTGTAAATAGGAATTGTAATAGTGATATATAAGCTCTCACTCTAACGCGGTCGTTTTTCTTGCAGTTGCAGTTGCAGTTGCAGGTTATATTAACTGTGAATTTCATTCACAAAACTTTTGCTTTTTTTTTTTTATTGGGGATACATAGATGGGTTGCTTTTCGTGTTTCTCGAGTTCGAGGGAGGATCACAACCTCAATCCAAGGCACCGCCAACCCAATCCACCTATACCTTCTCAAATTTCCAGATTGCCCTCTGGTTAGTATTTTCTATTCAACTCAAAGCTTATTAATCATTTTCTATCTAACTACTTTTAACATGTCAATCTGATTATCTGAATATCAATTCAAATGGATTTCTGGCTACTTACTTACATATGCTCATGCTTTATTCAAGTTATCAATCAATTAGAATACCTGTTAGCGTTAGATGAACAAGGTTCATAGTTGAATCAGAATCCAGTGAGGTTTTGGAATAGAATAGAATAGCAACTTATGGATCAACAATTCTTTCCTGTATTGAAGGAGCAGAAAAGTTACGGTCTAGAAGCAATGGAGGTTCCAAAAGGGAACTGCCTGCTCCCAAGGATGGACCTGCTGTCCAAATTGCTGCTCAAACTTTTACTTTCCGTGAACTTGCAGCTGCAACCAAAAACTTCAGGCCAGACTCCTTTGTAGGGGAAGGTGGTTTTGGAAGGGTCTACAAAGGGAGGCTCGAAAGCACTGGTCAGGTACAATCTTCTTTCCTGCATTCATGTGCTTGTGTTCTGTTTTACTTTCGAGAGGAAAGGTTTCAATCCTTTAGAGTACTCCGGAGAACAGATCCGGGGAAGAACCAAGATGCAAGAACATCGTGCTTTGTTGGAATGGTTCTTTTGCACCCTCAATAAATAAATAAATAAAAACCTTATCTCATACATTATCTTTGATTTACTTCCACAAGCCATCACTCTCCTCTTCCTAGAATCATTTGCTTTTGCCATGTTCCATAATTTTGCAATATTGTCAATGAATACAGATCCATGGTGACTGATCCGTATTGTCGTATACCCCCACGTAGTGGGATAAGGCCTGATTAGTATTGTGTTTATCATTACTTGATATAGCTGTGAAATAGGGAAACAAAGCTATGGCTTTTATGATTATTTTGACGAACTTATAATTCCCTAACTATCCTAAAAATGATGAATTGTCTGTGTTTAAATATCATATATCTATTATTGTGTGTGGCAAAGTACTTTATATTCCCAAGTTAGTATTTCACTGTTGTGGATGCCTAGGAGGATGATAAGGAAATAAAAGCTAATGTTCATACATTTAAATTCATGTTACTTCTTGATCAAATATCTTAAGACATTGACCCATCCCTAATGCTTCTGCCTCTCTCTCTCTCTCTCTCTTTCTCTCTCTCACTGTTATTTTGGGAGTTTTTTATTTTTATTGTGGCCATATTGCCATGCATATGGTTTCCTGAATAAAAGGGGTACCAGAATAAAAACTTCATATTTCAATGAGAGAAGGCAATCCTTAATCTTAAATGCTCAGATTTTGTGTGGTTGAGACCTCTAGTGACTAGTGAGTCTTAACATTTCTTCATTTACCTTTGCAGATAGTTGCTGTTAAACAGTTAGACAAAAATGGTCTTCAGGGGAATAGAGAATTCCTTGTGGAGGTTCTCATGCTCAGTCTTCTACATCACCCTAACCTTGTGAATCTCATCGGATACTGTGCAGATGGGGATCAGCGCCTCCTTGTTTATGAATTTATGCCATTGGGATCATTGGAAGATCACCTTCACTGTATGGTTGTGTTGCTCTTTATATCTAATCCTTTGATTATAATTTCTTTTAGGTTAATGTTTCTCAGATATAAAGAAACTGGGAATTCCTATTCTCTTCTATTAATATCCTGAACACCAAAACCAATATGGAAAATAAGAACAAGATGCTTTATTACTGAACTCTATTCCTCTGGATGTTAGCTTCCCAGAAAAGATAGAGGAAGAATCAAAGATACGATGATCCATGTTGTTTGAGACTCTGGTCTCTACAACTCCATAACTGACTTTTCCTCATAAATTCTTTTTACTTATAGCAGCTGTAAATCTGTAACAACCTTTCACAGTTCCATTTTTCCAAACATGCGCTTAGATTGCAGGTTGCAATTTAAGTTTCTTAACATAATTTTGAGTGTGTTGCATAGATGCTATAAAATTTTGTGCATAGGATGGCATGAACATAACATTAGATTGCAACTTCCTCAATAAAATCATCACCAGCTATAATCAGGATGTTTTCTCGTAGATTTCTTTGTGAAATATGTTCTTCTTAGTCTTTGCATGGTAGCACCAATTGATTGATAGCTGCAAACTCTCTCTTATGTGTGGGCAGTCTTTCCACCATGTATAATGCAATGAACTAGAGGTAACCATTGGGTTGAGTTTCAGGTTATGGATACAATACATATGGCCTGCCTAGAACTAAAATGGGAATGCCTAGAGCTCTGCCCAAAATTCCATAAACAGGAATTCAAATAAACAAAAATGAAGACTTCTTTTACACAACAATATATTTTAAAACACTATTTTGCAGTTTAGGTTGCCAAAAAGCGCGGTATAACAGTGAGATAAGAGATTTTGTTATTAAAAAGATTATATATATTGGATCAACTGACCTTGGTGTCAAACTTGGCAAATTTACACCTTCAATAACATTTTAGAAATATTAAATTTTATGAATTCAACAGTGAAATCTTGTGATATTATCCTGATGAATATATATTCTGAATTAAAAATGATTTAGAGATTCTTACGTACTTAATTTAATAGTAGAAATTATGTATATTTTAAACAGCATATTACACGTCAAAACTAATGCCTTCTTGAACAAAATGCAATTGTCATGATAACAACTGATGCTTTAACATTATTTATTGACTACTGTGCAGATCTTCCCCCTGATAAGGAACCACTAGATTGGAACACTAGGATGAAAATAGCTGCGGGTGCTGCAAAAGGATTAGAATACCTGCATGATAAGGCAAATCCTCCTGTCATTTATAGAGACTTCAAGTCATCTAACATATTACTTGATGAAGGATACCACCCAAAGCTTTCTGACTTTGGTCTTGCAAAACTTGGTCCTGTTGGTGACAAATCACATGTTTCTACCCGTGTCATGGGAACTTATGGTTACTGTGCTCCTGAGTATGCAATGACTGGTCAACTAACTGTGAAGTCAGATGTATATAGTTTTGGGGTGGTCTTCTTAGAGCTGATCACTGGCCGTAAAGCAATTGACAGCAGCCAGCCCCAAGGAGAACAAAACCTTGTCACATGGGTTGCCCTCTATTTTTCTTTTCATCTTAGTTTGGCATGTGTAGGCTCTTGTACATAAAAATGGAGAGGTAATAGTGATTTTATAATGTTTGTGCAGGCACGTCCATTGTTTAATGACCGCAAGAAGTTTTCAAAGTTGGCTGATCCAAATATGCAGGGACGGTTTCCCATGCGGGGTCTTTACCAGGCTCTGGCTGTGGCTTCAATGTGCATTCAAGAATCAGCTGCCACTCGTCCTTTGATTGGAGATGTGGTGACAGCCCTCTCATATCTGGCCAACCAAGCATATGACCCCAGCAATGCTGGGCATGGTCATAGAGGGTCTAGTGATGATAAAAGGAACAGAGATGATAAAGGTGGAAGAATATTGAAAAATGATGAAGCAGGAGGATCTGGACGCAGATGGGACTTGGAAGGATCCGAGAAAGATGACTCCCCACGAGAAACTGCGAGGATATTAAACAGAGATCTAGATAGAGAACGTGCTGTTGCTGAAGCCAAGATGTGGGGAGAGAACTTGAGACAAAAAAGGAAACAACAAAGTGTGCAGCAGGCCAATTTGGATGATTCTAGCACTTATTAGTTTCTTTCCCAAGCACCATATTTTACATCTTGGCTTCCTCAGTTTTCTTTCTTCTGGCTACGTTTGGTGGAAACTATTGGGAGTTCATCTTCCATTGAGCAGATGTTGAGTAATTCGTATAGCCATTTTGGCCAAAGACTGGGTTCTAACTTGTTTAGAATCTGGTTAGCTGCCATTTCTTGCAATGTCTGCAACTGGAATGAACCTAATTACAAAATCTATTCTAACAGAACCTTTTTGGGCACTGTTTTCCCTTATTTCTTTACTGTACTTTCTGCCTGAATCTCTGTAAATCGCTACACGGATAAAATGCTGCTTCCATATGTTTATGCCAATCTAAGTAGTCAGCGATTATTGTAATCAACTAACGTGTAATAATCGTAATTATAATGTAGCCTTCTACTTCGGCTAATGATGGAAATTTTTTGCGTCTTCATTCTTTAATGAAAGTTGACCAAAAAAAAATTTCTTTAGTGAAAGAGTGGGAACGATTGTCGTTTTGCTTTTGTGAATTAAGCCACTTTGACAATGTGATAGCCATGGATGTCGCTTATAATCGATCAATCATGTACTATGGTCTAAGGTATCCCATCTGTTTTGAGGTTCAATGACAGTAGCTTCTTTGGATGATCTTGCTCCTTGCCACATTACTTCCGTTTCAGATTTTATGTTCTTTTTCTTTTTTTGATTGATACTTATATCGTATTTGTTTGCTCAATAACCTAGCAATTTCTGACCTTAATACTTTACGACACTCTGGATTATTGCATATTTAAGTATGCTTTTATCTGTTTTGATTATCATTAGTATCTCAGTCTGTAAATTAATTAAAAGATTGAACTTGGTGCTCTACCTGTTTAAGGGAGTACTTGGGTAAGTACTTATTAAGTTATTGTTACATAAAAGTTTTTGTTTTAAATTTGACTGTGAAACTAATTAGAATAAGTTAAAAAAGTCGTTAAATAGTTTCAATTAAATATTATAATTATATTTGATTTAATATTTTTTTGTATAAATATTTAAAATATTTTCTCCATTAACTGAACTTCTATATGAGAATAACATACGTTAAAATTTCTTCATTGATTTTTTAAAAGGATGAATAAAATGAATTTATTTAAAAAATTATAAATATTTTGAGACATGGATCTTTGAAAGGAATTTGCATCGTTATCATTTCCATTTATATAGTATATTATGGTATTCTAGGTTTGGTAATATGTAATACCAGCTAATTTCTGTAATATATGCATATACATCTACACCATATCTTTGACCCTCCTATCTCTTATTCTTCTTTTTATTTTTTATTTCATTTAAATTTAAGGTTTATTTCATTTAAATTTAAGAATACTTGTTAAAATTATAATATAGTTAATTATTTATAATTTTTTCTAACAATTTAAGGTTATAATATAAATTGGTCATTGATACATAGGGAGATTTAATTTGAAGTGGTGATGTATTAGTTGTTGATTAGCTTAGTATACACAAGAAGCTCTCAAGCTTTTGAGAGAGTTAGTCAATTTAGTTATTTTTTTTATGACTGCTTTGTCAAGAGAATTAAAAAGCGTATTATAACAACTTTTATTTAATTTTGTTAACTCTAATTTTAAGTATTAAAAAATATTACAATTTTGTTAAGAAAAAAAGGATATTTATTATATTTTTATATTTATAATATAATGAATACTTATTTTTCTGATAAAATATTACAAATATTAAATGCTTAAAGTTAATCTAAATGTCGGTGCTAATATTTTTCAAGTTTTTGTGAAGAAAAAGAAGCATTATTTGTAGAGGGGGAGATTTATAATGCGAAATTCAATTGGTTAAAATTAAAAGATACAATCACTGGCACATGCAGGTAGCTACAACTTAATGGAAGAAATTAAAAGAAGATAGTCGTGGGTCAATGGCCATCGTAGTGCCACGAAACAGTAACATACATGCATGCATTTAATTAGACTGCGCAATCGTTAGGTTCCTCACTTTTCTCCTTCTCCTTCTCCTCTCTCTTTTCTTTGATCTTCTTTCCTTGTTGGTTTTCCTCCACAGGAAAAACCTCACCAGTTCCCAAGGGGTTCTCTACAACAACGTTTCTCAGTGGTTCCAGCGGTAGCTTCGTTTCCTTCGTTACCTTCATATCGCCTTTCCTGTAAATGCCATAGAGCAGCATCTGAAGCAACCCCAGTGCAAAACCAAGTACATTTGGGAGCTACATAGAAACGAAAATTTTGTCAATGTCTGGTTCATTGAGTAAGTTTGTCAATATTAAATTATTAAATTAATTGAGTTGCATATTTGTGCAACAATATATACTTACAGCAATGCAAATGTCCTTGAGAAAGAGACCATAACCAAACCACATTACGGCACTCAATGTGAGTGTAAATGACAAATTGAAAGGCATAAACTCAACACTCTTTGTCCGAACAACTTGTGCCTGCAAAGTGCATAACGCGCGAAATTGAAAATAATAATTAGTTCAAAGAAATACGCATCAACTTAATAATAATTAAGCGCATTGAATAGGGACTACGTACCACAATGCTTAGTGGTGCTGCGAAGACACTAACCGCAATGGAAACACATATCCATCCAAGGACTTGGACGCGAAGGGGACCGTGCACAGCGAATTGCGTGACTAAGACGATCAGAGCAAAGGAGCTCACATTCATTGCCATAAATAGCTTAAAAGTTATGTTCTGCATGCAGTTGATAAGTGAACAACTTAAGTGTCATAAAAATTGGAACGAAATATATGGATATATATGCCCAATTATTAAATTAGCAAAGTTTATATATGTTATAAATTTCACGAGGTTATTGGTGGTTAATTAGGCTAAGGTTGCATAAAGATATACCCTTGCATCCCTGGAAGCATAGATGATGAACAAGATAATGTAGATGATCTCTATGACACATCCAAATGAGTTAATAGTGAGGAGGAGAAAGGCGTCTTTTTTGAGTAAAGCATAGTACAACCAAAGCACGGAACTGAACAATGCCACCAGGTAAGGCAGTGACTGAAAGCCCTCGGTCGATTTCTTCTTGTATATTCGGTAAAATGTTGATCTGCAATATTCATCGTTGTAAATATATTCATTAATTAAGTGAAACTGACACGGGTTGATTCATATATATAATTAATCATACAGATACTTACATTGGAGCCAAGAATACTAAGAATGAAATGACGTTACCTGTGCGTCAAAATAGAAAATTAAAATCATTAATTCCTTTGCTTAATAGACAGCATGCAAGGACTTAAGAAATATTATATTAAGAGTAAATACGTGACATATATACATGAAAAGCTTAGAGATGCGTTAGATTTATAATGCAATTACACTACACGACTAAAAAGAAAAAGAGTGAGCATTTGCTGATCAACATCCTTTATTTGATTTTAAATTAAAGCTTGTTGCACGTTACATGTATCCCCGGCCATACGCAGCATATGAGAAAAGAAAATATGGACAAAATTTAAGTGAAGATTTTCACGTATATTTTTTTATAATAAATAAATTTTTATCTTAATAATCTGCAATAATTTAAATTTTGGCTAAAAAAAAGGTATTACAAGTTTGTAGCTAAGTTTTGTCTTGAAAATATAAATATTGTACAATTTTGGGGGTAACTTTTGTAAAAAAAAATTATATATACTCTTAAAGTATATATATATATATATATATATATATATATATATATATATATATATAGACTCTTGCTTTTTTTTTATGAATTTTTTGTCTAAGAAATTCTTGGTCTCTTAACAATTTTTTGAAACAGACATATATATATATATATATGAATGAGATAGTATATATAAATTACATGCATAGGAAACTATAAATAGAGGGGGTCTGTAAACTAAATACTTTAAAATAAATATAATAGACAAGCAGAACCAATATTTCTTAGGAATGGGAAGAGATAAAGCGAAATAGCTGTTCAATTAAACATTGAATTCTAAACACATGCGCTAAAACAATGGAAGAAGAACATATATACAACGGTAGAAAACTTGACCAAAGAAAAGACCGGCAGAAATCGAACAAGGACACATCAATTGGCTCTGGTAGGATATAACTGTGTGTGACGAGCATTATCATCGTGTAGATTGTGCATTACGAAAGTGAATATATGTAGACAGATATATAGATAACCGAAAGGGGTGCTGACCTAGGAATTGACTTTGAAGTAAAACATGCATATTTGTTTCAAGAAGTTGTATTCGACAAGAAAAAGAAAAGTAGAAAGAGATAAGAAAAGACTTGTAGCAGCTGAAAGAACGATGGTGATTATATCATTGTATTGTATTGTTATCCTACGTACCTAGCATGCCAAAGGTAAATGCCAATGTGTTGTGGCTGATTGCCATGCTCTCTCTCTTTTACTTTGGGCAACTACAACAACACAAGAATTAGGGGCAATGGGAGAAACTATAACTTTCTTCCGAACTCAACCCCTAAATCTCATGCAGGAATTGACGCTGCTGAGGATTTCTTTACTTGCCCTCTCTATATATACTCACCCTCGACGAGTGAGCAATTTAAAATATAGCAAAAGTATCTGCATATTAAAATATAGATAGCAAACGTACGGGAGGTTGGGATCAGCGTTATTCCGCAATAAGAAAATATATTTGTACATAAATTTTGTACATAAAACAATTATAGCTAAAAAAATAAACAGAGAAGAAAATTTTGTTGCATGATATTCTACACCATATGATGCAATCATATGAACTAGCAAGGTTTTTTTTATAAGGGGAAGGTCACAAGTTGCAAGATTCTCTTAACGTTGGTGAGATAGCGCAAAACTAGGGGTATGGGTACTGTAAAGTAGGTACCGACTAGAATTTTACCTTTAAGAGGTCAGGGCTAATAAATTCAAATTTAACATATATATAAACTTGTGAGTGAGTGTGTGTGTTAAAATGTTAAGCAAACAAACAACTTTTCTTTAGTTGAAGAATCATGGCAGGACCGCCCCCTTCATGTAATTGGCCCAAGTTCTGCATTAGTACAATTTTGTTAAAATTATGGAAGTGCGATAGTTTTTGTCTAAATAAAATTATGAAAGTGCATCAGTACGAATTGAGACAAGGAACCAACATACTCTTTAACACATACTATTGACTAATCATATAGTGAATGCGGAGACACACTTGGTAGAGGTTACAATTGGTATTGGCTAATGAGGTGCCATCAGCATCCCAAACACTCCTAATTTAGACTTAACTCATTGTTCAGGGGCATCAAATCATCTATTAAAACAATGCTAATTGATGCCATATTTATCTATACACAAATTATATAATATTATGCATTTGTGTTTTCTGTCAAAGATCTATATATCTTTATTTTTATTTTTATTTATTATTTGACAAATTATATAATGACAGATGATATTTTCATTTTTTATGGCATGATTTCTCGTATCATTCAGTATTACTGTAAAAAATAATAACTGTATTTTTTTTGCCCCGAAGACTTATGGTTCCGTCCCTTTTCAAGTCCTCTACAATGAAAATGTTTAATGATCATCCATTGCAGTTTAAATGCCCGAAGTAAAAGAAGAAAAAATATATTGAGCAATATAACGTGACGTGTAGAAAAATATTGACCAAAAAAATGAAAATTTTCAAATAAATGACCACACTGTTAAACTATCTATAGATCATAATTGCTTTCACAATTCTTGCATTTGAGTTCGAGCTAGAAGTTTAACGATTTAGTACAACTTTACAACAAAATTATAATTTTTTGTCTTCGAAGTATTAGTTAAGTTTTGCGTTTTTCCCTTGATTTAAATTTAAGTTTTAATCTAGTCTTTTAATTTTTAATTTTATTATCTAAGCTAATTCTTATTTTATAACTTTGTACCCTCTTCCAAAGTTAGAAATGAAATTTAGTTAACAATGATAACTTTATAATAATTGTTACGTGCTTAAAATAGAAAACATAAACAAATGGCTGAGTAGAAATGGTTTATGAGAGTAATTAAGGTAGTATTTATGGTGGTTTGAGAGTTTATATGGTAATTTAATAAGTAAGGGATAGAAAAAATGTGAAATAAGAAAAAAAATTAACTTAAAGCATTATTATTTAGAAAATTTCTTTTAAATTAAGAGATGTAGGGAAAAACACCTAAAAATATATAAGAAATAAGAAAATTTTTAAAACCTAAACCAAAATTTAAATTAAATTTAGAGAAACATATATACTTTTGCCTAACTTTATATATGCAAATTATGTAATTCATCTGTTCTTCCTCAACGTGAAAATGCGAAATTCACATACTTCATATTTAGTTTCTTTAACCTTAATACTTTGTTTGATTTAAGAAAAAAATGTTAATGAAGTAATGAGAAATAGGGTAAAATTTTAGGCTGTTTATGATAAAAATATATATAAATTGAAAAAGAAAGAAAATATTATCTTTCTTAAATAGATAATTAAATTTAATATAAATTAATAATATAGAACTATTTATTATAAATAATTTATGTTTTTATACTATTTTATGTTGTCTCCCTTTCTTAGCTTGAATGGAGAGAAACTAAAATATGTGGCCCTGTATTTTTTTTTTTTTTATCTCTTTCCTAATTTAAAACTATTATATAAACAACAAAAGAGATTTGGAAAAATACAATTTTTATTTCCCTTTTTTATTTCTTTATGGATTATTGCTTATTAATAAAAGTCTAAAGATTATACCAATAATTTATAAAACTAATTTATGATTCATTTATTTTATATAGCTTGCCTAAATTAGTTATTTCCATCTTATTTTTATAAGTTTTACAACTAAAATTATTTAAAAATATTAAATAAATACTTAATTAAACTGTGTATTTAAATATAGTCAAAATATGAAAAAAAAATTTATTAATGTTCTTATCCACTAGTTAAAGAAATAAAAAAAATAAAAGTGTTGATTATATTAAGAATCAAAATAATAGAATATTATTGTTTTAAATTATTAAAAGTATTTAATAATTTATATTAAATGTTTCGTAATTTTAGAATTCTTGTTAGCAAGACACAAATTTGCCATCATTCTTTTTTATATCTCAGCCACTCAAAATACTAAACTAGATGATCATTAAAGGCATGACTTTCCACGAGCTCTTAAATATAAAGTTTTAAGATATATAAAGTTATTTTGAGAAACAAGTGCATTTTTAACATAATGCTAAAGTTGCCTACCGTTATTAATTTAAGAGTTATATTTATGATTTCTTTTAAATACTTGATGATATAAAATAATAATAATTTTGAGTAATAATTGATGATAAAAAAAAAAGTTGAGTTAGTATAACATTTGAGGTAATAGACAGAGATATGAAGTTGAGGGGCTTGAGAGGAGCGGCATGGGAGATAATGTTAAAGATGGGGAGATGGGTCCATTGTTTTGTTTTTCTAAAGGGTGGGAAGGAAACAAGAGAAGACAGAGAGTATTGGTTGGAGAAATATAGACGGTTCATATTTTTAATTTATTTTCCTCACAAAATTTTAAGGTCGCCTTTTCCACCATCAATGGAGAGAGACTTGCTTGTTTAAAGTTTCTTAATCAGCATCATGACCACCATTTTGACGCAGAAAAGCTGAATAACTCAGGTTCACTAATCATGCTTTACTTTCACAACTTAAAAGGAACTCAGGATTAAGGAACAATATTATAAATTAATGACGAACATATTGAATTTTGCGATGTTAGCAGTAACACGCAGCCTTTCATTTAGTGGTAGGCACAGGTTAGTTAAACTAGTTGCGTCCAACATAAATCTAGATACCAGAATAAAATCAGGGGTTTAGAGTTAAACAAGCATGAATCATAATACTTTTTTCGCTGTAAATGAAGCATGATTCTTCAAAGAATAAAATCTGTGGTTACTAATTAATACCTGTATTTGGGGACTAGCTAAGAAAAAGGTGACCATTAAAAGTTAGAAAAGCTCAGCGAATCCTGCATCCGACAGTAAACAACAACATGAATGTTTATTTACATATAGCAATGTATGTTTACTTTCCCATAGCCGACCACTACCATTGATTTCATGCTTTCACCAGTGCCTATCTCATTCGTAATTAGTAGATTCGTAGGTGCTATATCGTGAGCTAGACTGCACTATACTATATCTTGTACAAATTTAATCGCAACCAAAAGCAAAATGGTTCCCACATGTCGAGCCAGTCAAGCAGCACACTGGTTTTCTTTACTACCAATTGGGTGTACATATACCACCTAGCAACTTCCCAGTCATTACTTGAGAGGGCTGTTCTCAAGTTTTATACTTTTTAATAATCTGCGGATGATTTTTTCATTTAGTTTGGATTTTCTTTAACTCTCACTGCATATTTGCAAATTACATTTTTGACAATTCCATGGTTTGGCTCGTGACAATGCTTTTAAAGAGGCTTCATTGGTTATATAATTTGCATGCTTATAATCAATTTGGATGGCTAAAAATAACTTCTTGTTTTATAATACTATCTTTGACGAGGAAAAGGCTATAGCTTACATTAAATTTTGGTCTTGACTTTGCATTAAAGCCAATTATAGTGGGGTATTCTTTTCTCTTTTACGATTGGAATACTAATAATCCTATTATATGTTTGGCTTAATGTTGCAAATGGACACGATGTATTCGGGTTAGGATATTCCCTCTTATTCCCTTAATATATAAAATTTAATTTTGTATTACAAATATATATAAAATAATTCAGAGCATTATTTATAAAATGAGAATTCTTACAATTTTAAAATAGAAGTAATAAAATATTTTAAAAATATGAACGCATCTAATTAACCCAATGACTGGAATCAAATCAACCAAAATATATTTATATTGGTTTGGATTTTTTATTTTATTTTTCATATATAAACGCACCCGGCCTCTTTTTAAGCAAAAAATAATTTACTAAAAGAGTACAATTAGTGCTCCAAAGTTCTAAAAAAAAAAAACACGTAATTAAATTGGTAACCCTTCAGACAATGGTACAACTAGAAATTGTCCATTTACCCATAAACTGAACTAATATAAAACATTTGAAGAAAAGAAAAATGTTTATAATCCGTCTGTGATATATTTTATTATTATTGATATTTTTTGTTTATATAGATAGTTATTTATACCTGTTCTTGATTATCACAATTTATAAACATAATAAAGACTATAAATTGGGCATCTAAACAATAAAAAATAATTTATAAAATATAAAATTTAAATGTCATTATAAAAGAAGACAAAACATCCAAATAAATAATGTTAAAAATAAAATACAGGTCTTTATCATGAATAATTTGTATGATCATCATCTGAAAGAGTATCATCATTAATAGACGAGGAGTTGAAAAAGGAATGATGCATAGAGTTGAAAACCGGTGATGCTAGAGCTGGTGGAAAAGGAGGAAGAGGTGTGGAGCTGTTTGCTCTCATGAGCTCAAAATAAGCATACATCTGCATACAACCTTTTTAGCCTAGAAATCAAAGGCAAATAATGCATTCTAGTTTGCGGTACATCTTTATATTTACCACTTCTACCACCTCTTCTTGGTTTAAACTTAGGCTCTCCACAGAATTTGCAATTGGTCAAAACAGCATCATCTTTGTAATACAGCATGCAACCTTTAAAATAACAATCAATTTTTACTTTTTTTAATCCAAGTTTGGAAACTAATTTTTTTGCTTAATAAAAGTCTTTTGGGATAGAGTCAGGTTGGGGACTAAGCTCACTAATTAATGTAGTCCATTGATCAAATGAACTCTGATTTTGATTGTCTTCTTACTTTATGCTTAACATTCTTACAGCTAAAGATAAGTCTGAATATACACACACATCCCATAAAGGCTTGTTTGCTGCTTCTAAAACATTATAAAATTTTGCAGTCTCTACATTAGGCTCTTGTTCAGCTTCAAAATTACGAAAAATTTTAAATTGAGGACCAACAGCATCATAAACCATTTCTTGATAACGACTATTGCTTTCTTCCCAACTTATATTACCTATATCCTCACCTGATTGTAATATTTGAATTGCCTACTTGATTTTCCACATTAACTACTTTTCCATGCTCAATCCATATCCAATAATCATGTTTAAATCCCAAACTTATACAAATCATATATAATTAAATCAATATCCAAAAACTTTCTACACTTGCACTTAGAACATGGACACCTAACTTTTTAGTTGGTGATGAATTGCTGCGAATTATAACAGACACGTATGAATTTCTCTACACCCTCAAAGAATTTAGGTTTTATTCCCTCCCGACTTGGGTGCAACCTATCATACATCCACTGATGATTTCTCAGAAACATTTGGATCAAGAACTATATTAACCTAATACAAATACACAATGTGGTATCAACCTTCTATTATACATTACACAAATTTTTAATATAAATTTTACAGAATCTTCCCTAATACATGTCAATTTCCTTACATTTGTTTACCACTTTTTTACAAAAATCAAAATTTCACCACACATAACTAATATATTATATAACAATATATTAATCGATACATAAAACACAAATACATCACAATCCTAAACCATTCTAGAGCACATCCCCTTGTAACTCCACAACATGCATATTCTACAAATTCCACAAATACAAACAATCCCACAACACACAATAATCAGGTTCAGAGAAGGACCTCTACACCCTTCCCCCAGTCATACAATCTCTAATCCTACAACTCTATCTTAGAAATTTTAAGTTTCTAAAATACATCAAAAATAAAAAAATTAAACCGATTAAAAGTTAAAGTATTGTATCAGGAACACAATGATGCAAATTATTTGACAAACGGATGTTCCAATTACTCACAAAGGCCAAAAAAATAAGCTCATAGAGAGAGAGACAAAGAGAGGCGAGAGAGAAAGAGAGATTTATGAAAAATGAGGAAGGGGAAGGGGGAGGCGAGGTTTTATGGGTTTCAGATATTACAGACAAAAAAATCTATTTGTAAATGATTTAATGAAATGGTGCGTTTTAAAAGTCTATTTACAGACAGATTTTTTCGTCTGTAAATTTGTCAAAGGAATTCTAATAGTTGACTTCCCAAACACACTCTTCCTTAGCTTAAGCTTAGAGGCATTCTTCTATGTTTATAGAGATTGGCTTCTATTGATCTCTTCAACTACTAACTAGATCAGAGCAGAGGGGTATACAAGTAGCTTAACTCCTTCGGAACCTATGGTCTAGCATTACGATATACGATAGAATAAGAATTTCATAATATAGAAAGAATCTACCTTCCGCGCTTAAGCCAACTCCTGCTTTTGCAGTAACCATTCCACATGGGAATAGGGGCTATGTTGAAAGGGCTTGACTACTAGTACCTCAAAAAAAAAGCCTATGACACCAGTAAAAGAAAGGCGGACATTCATGGATGTCAGTAGCTTGGACAGAATCCACTTACGACTAGAGGAGACCGAAACGGAAGCTATCCAAACACATGAGAGCCCTTGCTCTAAACTAAAAGGTAGGGTTCAAAGGAAAGGAGGCAGGATGACGAAAGACAAAGACACGGGGCCTAGGGGGAAATAGCTATTGGATTAGTAAACTTCCATCTAGAATAGAAGGCAAGGAAGTAAGCAAATCAATATAAAACAAGGAAAAGAAAGCTAATCACTGACTGAACCAAAGGCAAAGGAAAGAAGCTAAAAGTCTTATAACCTTCGGGAATCGAGGGGAACAGAACTGACTCTTTTTATATATTTATGAGAATATATAGTGATATCTTTAACCCCAAAACTAAAGATGCGATCGCATTTAGAGGGATTTGTTCTGCTACTATTCAATTCTAGTTAAAAAAGACTTGGAACGAGGAGAAAGTCAATGATTTAACAATAGCTACACTTAAAGATGAAATCGTTTCCCAGATAGTTCTAGTTTTCGATCTTAGGAGTTATCTATTACATGAGTTTACCCCATGTTCCGTTCTTTCATGTATGTGCTTTCTGGAATTCAAATTTGCCTTATACCATCGCTCGAAGGGCAGATTCTGCGGAGCGATTTTAAGATATAATGAAGGAGAAAAAGAAGTAGAAAAAAGCCTATTTTATTCATGAATTGGATCTTAAACTTAGCTTAGTCCATTTACAAACAGAAAAATCTGTTTGTAAATAGCCACATGAAAAGTAGCTTAAAAAGGATAACATTTACAGACTAAAAAATCTGTCTATAACTCTCACTCCCAATTTCCCTCCAATTTTTAAATTACAGACGGAAAAATCTGTCTGTAATTTTTGTCTGTATAATTTCGCGCAAAATAGCGAACAAACTACACACGAATTTTTATACGTCTATATTACAGACAGATTTACAGATAGATTTTTCAAAAATTAAAAAAAAATCACAAATCTATCTATAATACAAACAGATAAAAATTTATCTATAATATTTGTCTATAAATAGTGCTTTTTTAGTAGTGAAAATAATCTAGCCTATTAAATTTTCTGATGCCATGAACGTAGTCCCATAGCTTCTTTTTTTTTTTTTTTTCCCGATGCCATATAAACAAAATCAGTCTTATAACCTCCCGACTCCAACTGTTCAATTTTGGCCATGAGGATGCATGTTGAAACCGTACGTCTACTACTTCGTAACCAAAGTATAAATTGTAAAAATTAAAGCAATTCTTCTTCTTACAAATTAGTTTTTGCGAAAGTTAGACCTAATTTCTTAAGAAATTATTTTCTTAATTCTTGAGCAAAACTTTAAAAGTGAAAAAATAATATATTTTTCTTTCTAAGATATTACTTCCTATTTTATCTTTCAACTATTATATCAATTAATATTTCAATTATTTATTGTCTATAAAATAAACATAAATTATTAAGAGAAAAATATAAAAAAGAATTATTTATTAATTTTATAAAAAAAATAATTAGTAAGAAGATATATAACTTATGATTAAGAAGGGAAACAATACTATTCTCACCCAACAATTACATAATTTACCAAAACAACAAGGGTATTGCTCTCCAATCCTTAAAAAGTAGGATATTATAGCATCCTTGCTACGTGACACAATGAATTTGGGTAACTTTGTTGCTTATGCAAAGTTAATTTTAAAATTTCTTAATCAAATAGACCCCTTGCATTTTAGTATTGTTCTTATTAAGTTTTGTAATATAATCCTTATGTACGAGCAACATCATCTTCCTCTATCCTCTGCGAACCAACCCAAATCGACAACCACAGTCTAGCCCCTATTACAAATTATTTCTGCGACCAAAATCAAAAGCCATTGTAAGCCTTGCAATGCTCAAAAATGTCACCATCGTCTAGATCCAACCACCACACTATGAATTGTCACCATCGGCCCCTAAATCATGCCTCCGCAGGACAGTGTCATTGTTTTCAATCAAGGCATGCAGAAGCGATCACACCTCCCTGTCTGCCTGAAACCAACTACCACACTGCTAGTCAAACCACAATCTCTCAATTGCGACTTAGGTCAGTACAAACTCAACTCATGCACCGCATGCACATCAAATCTCCAATACTGCTAAGCCATACAATTGCACCATCATTGCTCGCAATGTTGACGTTGTTCTCCAACAAGTTGAGTCCCATCTGAAATCAAGACTCCTCACCATTGCAAACATTTGCCATGCCTTTAACCACCACTGATTCCCATGAACATGTTTTTTACCCTTATAATTTTTTAGGGAAAAAAAAAACACTTAATCACTTTCCCTTTATGTGTTTTTATCTTTTATTTTTATTTTTGAATGAACTCGAACTATCAGAAATTATGTTGAAGCCATTTTTGCAAGTTTTGATCGATGGAGCTATTTTATTTATTAAAAAAAGTTAAATTGGGTTAAAAAATATTTTGTAAGAACAAAATAATATATAATTTGTAGCAACTAAATTAAAAATATAAAAAATTAAGAAGTAAATATTTAACATTATGACAGAGCATCTTTAAGAAACACATCACAATTCTATTGGATGCTAATTGGAGTTTCCTAATCTCCCAATTTATAAAGGCACTGGAGAAATTTCCAAACAATAACGCGCCCACACGCATAATTTTGGAATCGCTGACACGTGCAGGGAACTACAACTTAATGGAATAAAAGTAGATGCTAGATAGTCATGCATGACCATCGTAAAGTTCACGAAACAATAGCACACAACATCAAATTTAGACTATGCAGTCGTCGGGCTCCATGCCTTTCTATTTCTTGTCTATATCTTCTTCACTCTTTTTTGTTTGTTCATCTTCCTGCACAGGAAACACTTCTCCACTTCCCAACGGGGTCGATACAACAATATTTTTTAGTGGCTCTGGCGGACTCTTTTCCATTGCATTAGTCTTCTTATTTCCTTTTCTGTAAATTATGTAGAGCAGCATTTGAAGTAACCCCAGTACAAAACCAAGCACATTTGGAAGCTTCACAACCCAAGAAAAAGAAAAACGTCAACGTCTGAATATATTAAACTATAATTCAGTTGTGTATTTCTGCAACACTACTTACAGCAATGCATATGTCCTTGAGAAAGAGACCGTAACCAAACCACATTATGGCACTCAATGTGAGGGTAAATGACAAATTGAAGGGCATAAACTCTACACTCTTCGTACGTACAACTTGTGCCTGCGAAGTGCAATATAAAATAAGATCAAGTAGGTGTATATATAAGAAGTGAAACAACGTAATTGAATAATTTATAATCGTATCAGATAGTGTTTTGTTGCGTACCACAATGCTCAATGGTGCTGCAAAGACACTGACTGAAATAGAAACACAAATCCATCCAAGGACTTGCACACGAAGGGGACCATGCACAGCAAAGTGTGTGACGAAGAGGATCAAAGCAAAGGAGCCCACGTTCATTGCCAAACATAGCTTAATAGTTAAGTTCTGCAGTAAAGAAATGAATAAATCTTAGTATTGACATTTTAATTAACTTACAAATGTAGATATGCGTTATTAAATTGGTAAAGTTTATGTATGCGTGGATTCTAGGCTAACTATAAGGTTGTACATATAGGCATACCCTAGCATCCCTGGTTGCATAGGTGATGTACAAGACAATGTAGATCATCTCTACAACACATCCGAATGAGTTAATGGTAATGAGGAGAAAAGCATCTCTTTTGAGTAAAGCATAGTATAACCAAAGCATGGAACTGAACAATGCCACCAAGTAAGGCAGTGACTGAAAACCCTCCGTTGATTTCTTCTTGTATATCCGGTAAAAAGTTGGCCTTCAATAATCAAAGATAAAATACCTTCAGTTTTCGTTAAAATTGACGGTAACTAACTAATATGGCTTAATACCCTTTTTTCTTTTCATAATACCATTAATCAAATGTAAGTAGAAATGATGAGTTCGTTGATAGATATATATACTTACATTGGAGCCAAGAATACCAAGAACGAAATGACATTACCTGTATGTGCATAAAAAACAGAAAGAAATTAATCCCTTCTTTAATGCAAACAAGAGGTAATAATATTGTATTAACTATTGCATGGCATAATGAAAAGTGTAAAGATATTTTAAAATCAAGATTATTGAGTATACAATAAAAAAATGAACAGGAATATTAATGTGGACGCATTTAATAACAAGCCGCTAAATGCATAAATCATCATTCAGCAGAGACTATTTTAAATTAATAAAAGATTTCCAATTAAAACTCCTAAAAATATAATAGTGTGTAAATTTTAGAGCTATTTTACTTGACTCGATTTAAATGAAATCAAAATATAATAGCATTAGATATATGCTCAACGTAATACTTAAATACTGATAGTCTTGCACCAAAAAATTAAAATAAGAAATCATAATTTGTTTGCCTAAATTTGTTTCATACTCCCTTTTACAGTCATTAAAAATGATGCTTAATTTCTCTTTTCTCTTAGTCAAAAATATTTAACACTTACTATATATAAAGCGGCCTAAGAGATATAAGACCAAACATTTTCCCAACATAACTACAAGTAGAAAAGATCCGTCCACTCAGTCATTCTAAAGACACGAGTAATAAACAAACCCCATAAATAAATATTAATTAGGTAAGGAAGAAATAAAAAGACATTCAGCTAAGTAAATACAAACTGGCATAAAACAAAGAGACGTCGCAATTGGTATTTGGCAACAATTGATGGTGGTGTCTAATGTATATTGCGTAATATAATATTTTCAAAAGTGGTGGAAATGTAAATATTCAATCTTGTTTTTAATCCCTTTAAACATATAAGTTGTTTATTTTAAAAAAAAAAAATGCAATTCGTTTATTGCAAATTTTTCACTTTTTCATATTCGTTTTGATTTTTTACTTATTTTATCTTTTAATGTCTTTTTTTAATAATAAAAATAATTTTAAAAAAGTAATATTTTAAAAAAATAGATAAGAAAATTGATAATAAATAAATCAATAAAAATATAAAAATTAAAAAATAAATTATATTTTTTAAAAATAAAAGATAAAATGTAAAAACTGAAATATTTAGAAAAGATAAAAGCATATTCAAAACAATAAGAATGAAAGGAAGATAAACCATAAAGCTGGTGGCAGCTTGTTAAGATAATAAAAGAGTCCAATAAGGGATCACTGTTTATGAGTTGATACCCTACCTAGCATGCCGAAGGTAAATGCCAAAGTATTGTGACTGATAACCATGCTCTCCTTTTGACTTTGGGCAACCCCAGGAAATAGGAGAGGAAGAGAGACCTTAACTCTCTTCTAAACCCAACCCTTAATAAATCTCAATCAGGCGGAGAAGCTGCTGAGGATGGCCTCACAAGCCAACTCTATATATATACACACTTAAAGAGAAAAGCAATTAAAAATAAAAGCATAATATTGATATATTTATAACAGGTGTATATGGCTAAGGGAAGATACGAGAAGATGAGAAAAAAATATATGATAAATAATATAACGTGACAGAAAAATAAACAAATAAATTATGTAGAAAACATATAAATATCATAATCTTATAAAAGTTACAAAAAGAACTGCAAAAATAAAATATAGTATAGATACTATAATACTACTGATATAATATTATGCTACTGCATAGTGAACTGATTCACGAGGGGTTTAACGCTTCAACTTTTTAATTGGTAGGGTACGTTCCATGATGGAAGCTCATTTTCATTGGTGTCATTCTGTCATGAGCATTAGTCAAAGACGCGCCTATAGAAAACGTACTTGATCCCGGAATCAGCATTATTCCATATTCGATCTGCATTCGCCAACAATCAACATAGGACGCAAACTTTCGAGATTCATTTAACGTTACTAAAACTAAGGTAGTTCAAAGCTAGGACTGACTTATAAATTAAAGAAAAACTCAAAGCTAGGAAAGGGGTCATGTAAAGCAGGTACAAAGTCGAGAGTAATTTTGACATAATAACTAGGAGGTCAGGGCTATCAAATTCAAATTTTTCGGTAATTGAAAAATCATTGCATGACCAACCTTTTCTTCTAGTGGGCACAGGTGGTCTGTGCCCTATTATTGATCCAAGTCCTTCTTCATACCTAAGCTGTTTTTCATTTGCATCTACAGCCTGTGATATCACGAAGTTACATTGCTTCACTTCATGTGCAATTACCGTTTGCTTGTCACATACTCTTAATTTTAAATTCTTTCATCCAAGCTATGTATGATATTACACTGTTCTAAATAAGCAATGCAAGACTCAGCCTCCCACCCTCCAGCTAACGGAAATTAACGGGTTCACTTACTTCAACCACATTACCTCCATAAATTTATTTGTTTAGCCAGAATTTGTGATTGAAAAATATAAAAATGTTTATGAAAATTATTATCAATACACTTTTTATTTATTGATTTTAATTGTTGTCTTTAAAATACTTTTAGTAGGATCTCTATTTATATATATGATTTCTAACTATTATACACAAATTTATAATTTTTCAATTAATCCTGGAATTCATTTTAAAAAATATAAATTTATGGAAAAAAAAAACAATTTTATTGATAAAAGTTACAATTTCATGAATAGAAGTTGTAAATTTATTGAAGTCTAGTGGACCCGTAATTTTTAATAGTAGTTATTGTCTTTATTTTTAATATTATTTTTTCTACCCCAAATTATTTTGATCAGTGCTCGTTAAATATCCACCATTTAACGGGAAAGAGACTTGTCTGTCTCAAAGATTCTTAGCATCATGACCATCATTTTGGCGCAGAAAAGTTTAAGTTAGTTCGGTTCACTAATCATGCTTTACTTTTACAACTTTTGATTAACAAATGCAAAGAAAAGGAAACTATGATTAAAAAAAACAATATTACAAATGAGGAACGTATTTAACTTTGTAATTTGAACACTAACACGCTGGCTTTCAACACGTGGTCGACATAGATCCGTCAAACTAGTCTCGTCAACCATAAATCTTGATACTGGAATAAAATCTGTGTTTACAGTCAAACTAGTACTCTCAACCATAAATCATGATACTCTTTTGCTGTGATGAATCACGATTCTCTGAAAAATTAAATCTGGGGTTACTATTGCCTGTGTTTTGGGAATAGCCTAGAAAGTGTCCAGTGTCCACAAAATGTTAGAAAGGCGAAGAGAATCTCGCATCAAGCACAATAAATAATACTTGGGTTTATATCTATATATTAAAGTAGTCATGTTTTCATGCCTACTTACCCATAGCGGACCACATGTACCTGTAGCGAGGATCATTCGTATAAGCAGACACGTAGAAAGCTATATAATAAAGTTGAGTCTCTACTAGACTACCCTGTATATATTTTTAGTATTCTATCTTATTGGTAGATACATATGCATGATTCTGTTACGTACGTGATGTGTGATCAAGTGTACTGAGTTGCAATAAGTATGATAAAGATAAATGAGTCTCATTTTTATAAGAACTGGAACTCAATTTATAAGTTGAATTGAAAAGGAAAAAAAAAAACTAGACGAATATGAATGTATAAGTATTAACTAAGTGAAAAACCAAAATTATGAAAAAAAAAAAAAAACTACAGAAAAAAAATGCACAATCAAGGGAAGTTTAGAAAAATAAAGTAATTTTACTATTTAATGGGAATTAATATTCAATTCATCTCAATTTTTTTATGCAATCAATCCTACTTTGAATTTATATTTTAATATCCAATTAATTATCACTATTGGCCGCGTTCCAGCCCCTTGGTAATCTAACTCAATTCCTCGCTCCATCAAAAGTCTTGATTCTTAATATGAACTCAATTGAGACATATGCATTTAAGTTGTGAAATTCAAAGGCAATCAACTTCTATCCTTAAGTAATTAATTATTGTATTAATTTTCTTATTTTGGATAGCTCGCTATTTTTTTAAGAGTTTTATTAAGTAATTAATAATAGTAAAATTTTATTTAAAAAAAGTATTTCTTATATTTTTATAATTTTAATACAATAATTATGTATTTTTTTTCATTAAATTTAGTCTTAAAAGATAAAGTTAACAAAACTTTTTTTTTAACTGTGAAAAATAGTCCTAAAATATACAAAGACATTAAGAAATTAAGGAAGTAAGTATGAATCAAAAGCTATAAATTGAAATTGTAAGAATTATATTGCATGAGTTCAAATCGAAAATCTTCTTTTCCTAATTAAGAATTAAGGAAAACATAAAAAAAATTAAGAGAAATTATCCAAATCATCGTGAATTTGGAGATTAAATATCTCTTGTTTTCGTAGATATAGTCCTGATATTAGAAAAAATGAATTTCTCTCTTAATTAGCTCGCTCAAAAATATGACAAAATTCAATTGGAACATCTATTTATTAATTAATAGCAAGAGTATGCACCATGGTATTTTAATCATGTACACAATAATACAAAAGAAACTAAACTTAATAAAGTGAGATTGGCATGTACACATACATTATTACTTCAATAATTAATTTCATCCCTTCGGGTTTTTTTTTACTCTCTCTTTCTTAAATTCTTCTTACATCAATTAAAAGTACAAGATTTTGATGATCATTAAAATGACAAATATAGAAATTTATACTAAGTTAATGATGATGGTGGATTATTGAAACTAGTATTTTTCTATCAATCTTAACAAATGAAAAAAAAAATGTATGGGATTAAGCTTTATTTATCTTCTAAATGTACTTTTAAAATAATTTAAAGGTTGGCAAATTAGTATAAAACTCATTTCACAAATATTTATTTATTTCTAAGTTAGCAATTGAGCTCCAACTTTCAAATGTGTCACACCACCATTAAACCATGCAATTATATACACTGTTAATCAATGGTCAGAGCATGTGTAAGTATTTTCTTATTTCTTTTTTAGATGTACACTGATTTGGTCTAATTTTGATAATAATAAAAAATTCATCAATCAAAAATATTTCTGGTCCAAACTATAAATATTTTCTATAAGAACAATCTTATTGAGTTAGGTAAAATTATGATAGGAAGCAAACTTATTTTTTCAAGTATTGAGCGCATCTATATTCAATAAAACCAAAATTTGATATCAATAAAAATTAATTAATTAATTTAGTTTAAATTAAATTTTAAAAAATAAAAAATTCAAAGAAAATAAATTCAACTATGAATAAATTGATTGAATTTAATTGGATCATCGGATCGAAAAATTATACATACTTTTAACATTCTAATTAAAAAAAATATAATTATCATAAAAAACTAATAACAGTCCTAAACTCAAAATATCAATTACAGTATACTTATTAAGGTCATAACTGCCTATAAATGCACGTAGCTTCAGAAATTAAACTATGGTATTGATTTGATACCTTTTAAAATATAAATTCTGAAAACTATATACAAATTTTTTTTAGAATTAAAATTTTTTAAATGAATTTATATATTTTAAATATTAAATTTCAAAATTAATTTATAAATAAGCTTCAGAAGAATTTAAATATTAAAATGAATTAAACACATAACTGAAAATTATATTCTAAAAATGACAATGATGATGCAAACAGTAATCCCTCTATTCTAAGAGTGGGCCTGCTGGTTATTAATTTTCAGCTGTTTTGTTTATACACTTTAAAATAATTGAAAATCGTTAAAAATGTTAATAACAAATAAGGCTTTTAACAAAATAAAAATTTTAAAAACTAATAAAAGTAAAATTTTGGGAAAATAACTTTTAAAAAAAAAAAACATCAAAACCAACGGTTAACGCATTTTAAAAAGGTTAAGATAACTCGTAGTGAATTTATTTAAAAAGGATAGAATAACTCCTAATCGGTTTTAGACCCATTGGTGAAATGGATTGGCCCCTAACATGATAAGCTTTATTAAAGTGTTGGTTTTTTATATAACACTTGAACTTCAAGCCCAAATTACCTATGTCCATAGCACTGCCTGAGTCCAGACTAAAACCCATGGGCCCAAACCCCTTCAACAATATAATGCATTGTATCAACTCTGTTACATACTTGTACCCAAAAACAACACATCAACTCTGATACTTCTCACTCTCTCTCTCTCTCTCTCTCTCTCTCTCTCTCTCGGTCAAGGATTTATCTTTTTAGTTCCATTATTCGAATATAAAAAGAAATTGGCACCATATAATATTATATATAATTTTTAAGATATACGCATTTAAAAAATATACTCTAAAATCAAAGGGACACCAATTTGTCATCTCAAATTTGTTTTA